ATAATATATATATATATGCATGTACAATTACATCTAAATGTGTATATAAACGTTCTACATTTTGGGAAAATTACAGTCTTAGATGAAACAGACGCACAATTTTTTTAGTTATTTAGTAAATTCATTATAGTAGGTTTAACCATTTCAGTGAATAAATACTTTTTTAAACAAATTGTAATTATGATTTCTAGTGTTTTATGTTACCTCATGTAGATTGTTGGTTTCACTACTACATACAGAGGGCGCAATTAAAACACAAAACAAAATCTGTGCTCAATTTATGAAATTTAACATCACAAACTCAGTGATTGGCTAGGTGTAGTACAATAGCTTAGAGAGACTATGAATATGTAAATAAATAAAGTCAACAGACCATGACAAATCACTAGACCATGACGAACAAAATGTTTCATAATTATATAATTCTCACAAAAGAAATACTGACAACAGGTAAAATTCTTGTACTGTAGTACAGTAATAACTTTTTAAAATAAACAAGAAATCAGAGAATCCTTTTAAAAATCAAAAGGTTTCGAAAATGTCTACGATTTGAGTCTGCATACAACAAATTCTATTAAAATATACTTTTATCTACATTGCTCTTATATTCGATATACGAATACTAAAAACGTTTGATAAAAGCAGTAATGCATTCTTGTTGAGAGTGGATTAAGGCAAAAAAAAAATGTTTCTTGTCCAGTTTATTTTTACACTCTGGATATTAGGACGGTCCAATGCTAACACCGCCGTTTTGGGATGATTAGTCAAAGCGCCCTCCAACTTAATTAGAGATATAAAAATTCGAGTTTTTATTGGATAAATATACAGTTATTTTAACGGAACGAGTATGATGCCCCTATTTCAGTCATAAAGATAGAAACATATAAAAGAAGTTCTGAAGGATTACCTGGGTTTTTCGGAAATGAAAAAAAGCATATTTGGGAGGGAAATAAAACGTTATTTGATTCCATGTATTTTTGTGTAATATTCATTGATAATCATGTAATATAATCTGTTCTAATTGGAGGATATTAAAGAAGGGAAACATCGCATGGGAAAAGAAAATCATATATGGCATCTCAAATGACACCTTTGGACATCAGTGATTATTTCACTGAATGGTAAATTACTGAACGAAATAATTATTACCAAAAAACATCATTGTACTTTCACAGCGGTAAGGAGACTTGATATAACTATCCCACGCATGAGCTAATGCTACTTAAACAACAATTATTATATAACATATTTTTATGTAACCCGTACCACAATTTGTTTAATATATTTTAGTCAATAGACTAGGCCTACAGTTCGAAAAATCCTAGAGTCAAACACATGTTATAACATTGAATAAGTTTAAAATCAAATAATATAATATTATAAAATTTTAAATATCAATATTGTACGACAATCTTGAAAAAGATAAATATTAAAAACATTAATTTTATTAATTAATAATATCTTATATGGCAAGGAGAGTTTTGATACTATATGATGGATAGAACAAATACCAACAAGATAACGAATAGTAGTACTGGAACCTTGTGGCCTATGAACTTGCACCAGCCCTGTATCTAAAATAACCTTGGTTCTGATCATGTATTAGACATAAAACAAAGTAAGACAAAGAAACTTTATTTGTATTTGATCAAAGTTCCTCAATATCATCTTGTTCGGAGACATTAATCAGTCTAAAATGATACCTTGGAAAAAACATTTCCTTACAAGCGCTATTAGATCTACTGTAGTCTCCAATAGGAAGCCTTCATGACTAGGCCTAAGTTTTAGTTTGTTAATGATTAACCGCTACATAATCATGTTAATTGTATGTCCTATTCCTAGGGTATTTGAAACCTCGGCTCCACACCCAATTATAATATCTCCCCCCAGAACATCTAGTCAACAACAGCTAACTTCCTTTCTAGGCCTACATTGCTTTTTTTTCCTCCTCAATAACTACCATGCAAATTTCAGGAATTAAAACAATGTCTTTCTGTTCATCTATTGAAACACATCACACGCAAATAACCAAGATATCAATTCCTTTAATTATCATATAAATCAAAATTTTCAAAATCAAGAAAAACTATATAAAAAAAAATTCTTTACAAAAGAACTTGATTAAAAAAAACCACAGGTAATGTCTCTGGTTAAAACTAGTATATTTTTTGTGACTATTTTCTATGAATTCCAGTGTACCAACGATTTATTTGTGATCACAATAACAACTCACAAGCAACAGTTATCACAACTCATGATCAAAGTTAAATACAACTCATGTGCATTGGTGATCACAGATTCTGAGCATTGGTGATCACAATTCACAAGCATTGGTGAGCACAAATCATGAGCATTAGCGATCACAACCCATGAGTATTGGTAATCACAACTCATGAGCATTGATGATCGCAACTCATAAGCATTGGTGATCACAACTCATGAGCATTAGTGATCCCAACTTAAGAGCATTGGTGATCACAACTCAAGAGCATTGGTGGTCACAACTCAAGAGCATTGGTGATAACAACTCAAAAGCATTGGTGATCACAACTCATGAACATTGGTGATCACAACTCATGAACATTGGTGACCACAACTCACAAGAAACTCATGAGCAACAGTGATGCAACAAACATGTTTTTGTGATCAAATTTTCAATAAATTCAACTACTCACAGTATTTAACACCTTGGCTGTGAGCTAGAACTTTTGAAAAAACTGTCCATTTTAAAAGTGTAAAAATAATTCATACACATTTAATATGAATATAAGAAAGTTATTGTTCCATTATTTAAAGTGCTGTTATTGGTTAAAAATTGTATGATTAAAAAAAGACAGATTTCCACAGGCTGTGATTACCAATCAGCAACATGCTTGTATGTGTGACCACAGCCAGTGACACCACAATCATGGTGGGGAATATGGTCACTGGGGGAAAAAAAATCATTTAACTGATTAATAACGCGATTATTTCAGCTGTGCATTGTTAGTACCTCGCCTCGCATACCCGGTTTGTGCGTTTCCTCTTTAATAGTCAGTGCCTCTGCTGACTATCTCTTTACATGTCGGTCTTAACATGATGGTGTGCTCATACTGAGCTGTGTAGCAGCCACGGATGTCACATAGCGGTGGATATGGGTCAACTATACCTGAAGATAAAGGAATGGTTGTTACCGGTAGTGAACAGAATCAATAAATATAGTAACACAACACAATCATGACATCACCATTTTAATGTCCATGAAATTTTTCTATCAATGAATGGGCACTAATATGATGTACTGTAGAGTGATGGTATCTTTTGCGTGATGTGTGAAAGAAACTCGAAGGTGTTGATTACATCGCGACAAAAATATCGTTGCTAGGCCCAAACGAGTGCACACAAAAAACTTGTTTATACAAATGGAGCCTAAACTTAGGCTAGGCCTAGACAACAACCAAATCAATGCATAAACTATTATCATCAAATAATCAGGTACAGTATATTTTACTTCCTTCATGATTTTTCTGACTCTTACATCAAAAATCAAATCTAATCAAATCAATCTTCATTGTCCAAAAAAACAGAAGGTATAGTGGACATTCGTCTTTAGATACAAACAAAAGCCTACCAAGTGAACAAACCGCACAATCAATAAAAAATTACACAATCAAAATGTCAAAAAATGAAAAGAAACAAAGCTTCAAAAAGGCCTATATACAAGTGATACATACATATAATCACTAAACTACATAATTACTCCAAAATCATCATTACTACTTTAAGAATACTACAGCAGTATTGCCGTAGCTCGTCGTGTACAAGCTTGCCCCTTGCAAATGGAATTGATTGAGCTCGTAGGCTGGGCTTGTACTGAAGGCCCAGATAATGCGAACACTAGTGAACCTGCATTTTGTGAAGGCAAAAAACTTACCAGCATCTCCAAGGTTTTTTAGAGCCATCAGGTACTTGGTCTCACCAAGCCGATCCAACCATCGACGGCAGAATGCTAACGTTCCAAAGTTCTTATTAATGGTATTCAGCAGTGCTTTAGATCGAGCCAACCTGTTGTTAAATAGATTTGTTAATTATTAAAATAAACATAATAATTAATAATAAAATAGTATTGTAATAATCAACTATATATTCATAGACTTCAAATAACACCAATATTTTTTTTTCTAGACGACCTTTCCCAATATTTTTTTTTCTAGACGACCTTTCCTAGACGAAAACTGAATCAGACAACAGAACATTTTTGGATAAACTTATGATGTCATATGAGTTCAACGACATTCAAAAAAATACAATACCTGAGTGGAACATGGCCAACTTCAAAGTTCTTCATGTAATGTGACGTCTCCATATCATCATGGACGATCCCCTTCCCAGTACTACCGAATGTCTCTATGGCGAAGAATTCATTTTCTTCCATTCTTGTTTCTTCACCACCTTTCACAATTGGCACCGTCTTGCCCGCATGAATTCTATACGGTCCTATAGAATGACCGTTCAAATTCCTGATGGGTTTTACTTTGTACGTTTTGCCATTCAATTCCACTTCGTACGATTCCATAACTTCCTGAATTCTCTCCCCGATGTCACATAAACGAACATCAATACCAGCTTCCTGTAACAAAAAAAAAAATAATTGCAAAACTTAAGATTTTACATTTTAACCATTCATTGTATTTATGTTAAATATCATTTGTGTCCATGTCATTTTATCATATTTTTGTAATCTAGCTCACCTTTTATTTCTAAACTTCAAATTTTATTAGTTTACTAATATCTTTTATGTTGTTTATTATGTTTATTTTTATTTTTTTTAATTATTAACTGGTTTTCCAGTCAAGGACAGCCAAGCAGTGAACTTAATCACTATTCAAAAGTAGCATATCCCTTCACAAGACTTAATCAGTATTCAAAGTGGCATATCCCTTCACAAGACTTAATCACTATTCAAAGTGGCATATCCCTTCACAAGACAAACAGAAACACAAGATGCTCTACATAAACCAGGGAACAGTGAAATTACATGACATTAATTTCACTGTTCCCTGACATAAACTAAGTCTTATTATGAGGCATAGGGAATGGAGTTCTTTTAGTCGTGAGAAAACATCCTGTTACCGTGACAGCAATTGAAAGTTAGAACCCTGGGATATTTCATACCTCTTTTGTTATAATCATTATAATGCTATGGGTCCTGCCACTATATAAATTCCTGTTGATTGAGTGATTTACATATTTTATAGTGCCTTAAGATGGTATATAAAGACATTAAACAGGTTTGCACAATGTCGCACAAATGTCACTGTCTCCCAATATCTCGCACATGCTTTCTGAAGGCATCCTTACCCGTATTCCAGTGTTTGTTGCGTCTTTGACAGCTTCTAACAACTTATCGTATTTGGGATTAAATGCCACTGTGAAAGCACAGTCTATAATCCGACCTGCAAAGTATACAAAACACAGACGCCATTTACTCATTAACAAATATCTCAAGACTTGCATCAACACCTACGATGCGATTTGTTTTGGAAAAAAAGGAAGTGCTAATAATTGGCGAATATTATCTAATTAAACTAGTTCGTAGTTTGATTCATCAACTTCACGATTTTGAATGACTGCAAATTTTCACATATTCAATCGATCAAAATACTAGGGCACTAATTCTGAACACGTTGGAATAAGCTAGAAAACACAGGTGTGCAAAAACAGGTGTTGGATTATGCAAAAATATGATTGACAACGAGAAAGTACAATTGCACCGCACATATAATTGGATGCATGCGCTGTTTGCCACTCCGATTTCCTGCTGAATATCGGCATGGTTTATCAATCGAAGCTACCCAGTTACTTACAGTATGTTACTCGAATTAGCTCTTAGCAAATCCCATTTCTGAGGCTAACAGGTAGTTTGTTGACTCATCTTACAAGCAACAAAACTATGACTTGTTTTATTTACCAGGACATTACAGAATTTAGTTGATTTTTCAAGACATACAATAAATTAAAAATATACAGTTTATCTTAAGTTAACACACTTTCATAGGTTAAGTATTCTCACTTTTTATGAGTAGGATATTTGAATTCAAATGAACATTTTTAAAAAGAAAATACTTTTTCCACAAATACCAAACATAAACAATAATGTTCTTTATATACTTTATAAAGACAATAGTGCAATAAACCTATCTAATCAAAGCTTTGTAAGATAATTTAATAATACTGTACTGTTGTATCTTGATAACACTTGTTTTTTTGTATATTGTATGTATTTATAAGCTCTTAATAACTGTAACCTTTGTTTTGTAACTATCAGTTTCATTTATGGTAATACTTTTTTTATATTTTACATATTTTTCATCATCTGTCTCTCGAAAATGAATTTATGTGTGTTATGAACTTGTAAACATGATCATGATCATGATCATCATCATTCCCTTGAACACTAATAAATGTTAGACACCCGCGCCTCACTAATTTCCGACATTCGGTGCGATTTTGAGCAAGTACGTGAAACTCTGGTTTCCTTCTTGATGTTGGCCATCCATGTTGTTGTTGGCCATCAATGGAGACGTTTTACCTTTCGCTGTGCTTTGTGGAATGCGATTCTAGCTGGAGTGTGTTCATCTAAATAGAGCATGTGTCCATACCATGCCAGCCTTTTCTTTACTTTCTTACTCCACTCTTCCTCCCCTGTCTTTCTATATAACTCATCATTCCATATTTTCTCTGGTCACTTTATACCTAATATTCTTCTGGAACACATCTATTTCATTCTCTAACAATTTGGTCATTGTCCAGAGTTCACTATTAATACTGGTGACATATACATTGAAGACTCTCAGTTTGATTGTTATTTTCTTGTTTTGGAGTACACCACTTCTTTTAGAGAATGCTGCTAGAGAGAAGTGTTTTCTGTTATTGACGTCCTCTCTTGTTCCAACTTGCTGCCTAGAAATTACAATTTCGCCAGTCTTCATTTCCTTTCCTTTGTATGGTGTACTCTTGGATTCGTTTACTCTTAAACCGTAGTCTCTAAGTTGAGGTGGCAGTTCTTACTTTATATCCTTTTTACGTATTTGTGTGAATCATCGAATCATTATCATTATAGTATGATGAATAAAAGAAATCTTGAATCTTGACCCTTAAATTGGCTGTTTCAATCTGTGTTTCACTGAATGTTAACTTATTTCATTCTTTAAAAATTGGCTGCCTACTACTGTACATTAATGTATCTCAAAAAGTACTACCACGATCTAGAGGGCGTCCTTCAAAATACAAAAAAAGGCATTCTCAACGAACGCATGCTGCATCTCAATGACACATGTTAGAGTTTCAAAATGAGGATTGTTGAGTTTCTAACTCCATTCGTTTTTCCAACTGGGTGCCCCCCTACCTCGTGGTACAATAGTAGTACCCATCATGCACCTCCACCGGATTTACTCTCTCTTACAGGGTTAACTGCCACATGATAACGCAGTGTCTATGCCCCCAAGGGGGCAATAAACACAAAAACATTTAAATGTTTTGATTGAAATTTTTAGTTTATTTTCAAGATTTGATTAAAAACAATATAATGTACAAACATCAATTCACTTAGACTTTATAATAGACGGCTGCTTTAAAAATATTGTATTATCCATGGATAAGATAGAATTAAACTAATAACAAGGTAATATCACTAGCTCACATGACAGCCACTGTCACAAAGAAGTGTGTTATGAACAAAGTGTTTAATCTGAGCCTTCATGAGAAAATTTAAATATTCTGTTAAAAAAAAAGATGAATGACTAAATGAGTAAGTTATGATTAGTTCTCATGATGTGACTACACAACCTGTCAATACAGATCTTTCTAAAAAACCCTATTGAGAAATTTGAGGTATGTTCCAATTCTGTTATTTTTTGTGTACATTATTGATGAGATAACAAAAGAAGGTATTTGACTGAATGAATAAGTTATGATTGACTGTGATCACGTAATTACACAACATGTCAATCAATTCACATGACAATATATTGTAGATCTACTAAAACCATACAGGTCATGAACTCTAGAAAGGTCACTATAGGTTATAGCCTTGAAAGTACACATGTAATATATTGTAAACAAATTCCAAAACACACATTGTTATAGTTTCATATTGTTATCAGTGACAAATGCAAAATATTATTGGCATTTTTTTGTCGTTTACAGTAAAAAGATGCCTTATAAAGTTATGTCATGATAAAATAAAACCTGCTTGGTTATTTATATCATTGACCTAAATACTCCTCTAATAAATGAATATTTTATACTGTACTGTCACATTTTATCCATTAGCGACAAATATTTACAAAAATATTAAGACTTCCCTAGATATTGTTGATAGCACCGGATACAGTGTGCTGCCCTCTACAGGTATTTTCAATTTTTCCTTATTTTACCCAACAGTATTTCTTTAATGCCATAATTAATTTAATGCAGAGTAAAAATGTAAACATCCTTAAAAAAATAGAATTTATTACAAAATTGCTAATGTACACCTGCCATGTGTGCACCTGCCAACTCTTACGAATAATACATGGCTCTCATGCATCAGCAACCAATTTTTACATCTCACGCCTACGTTGTACTATCTCGCACATCATAATAATGTTTAAAAAAAATAAAATGTATAGGCTGATTATACCATAAAATTAATAAAAATGAAGCGAATTTGTCTTCAAAGTGCGAATACAGGCCACATAAATTTCTTTAACAAAGCTATACCAACCACGGACTGTAATCCACAACAGTTCTACTACAATTTATAAAAAAACAAAGTAGAGGGTGCTCTATTATTTTTGTAATTATTAGAACGAGTTCGGCCGAGCAGTTAGCAGGGGCTGAACGGCATGCTCGCCTATGGTTCTGGTGGTAGAAAAACTCTTCTCGTAGGCCCAATGTATACAAAGACTCGTGTGCACTATAAAGAACCCAGTACATCATTTGAGACGAGTAGGAGATACCCGGGCGTACTGGAAAAGACAGCCCCCTGTGGTGGACAACAGAGTTGCTGGTACCGGGTTACTGGGTAGCAAAGACACGGGACCCTTAGGGACGAAGAAAGTCACTGATGGAGTTCCTAGTCCACATATCAAATGCCCTGAGCATCTTATATTAGATGGATACGGCGCTAAACAAAACTACACTATTATCATTATTATACAGGGCGCTATACACATTTTTTTTGTCTCATGCATCAGACACAGACACCGAAAAAGGTATACTAATACTAACCATTTATATGAGTGCCAAAATCAATCTTGCACACATCATCATACTGCAACACGGTTGTATCTCCGTTATTCGGTGTGTAGTGGGCGGCGCAGTGATTGATGGAACAGCCAGTTGGGAAGGCGAGACCAGCCTTCATCCCATTCTCGTTTATTACTTTCCTAGAAGCTGCTTCTAGACGCTCACTATAGGGAAAAGAAATGGATTTCTTTAATCGACACAGCAACGCAGAGTGGGCCTGGTATTTTATATTAAATCATTATACACCAACACACTATGTAGTGCAAAAATTCAACAATGCATCTATCTTACCATATATCAATCATCTTCAGGCCGGGTTTAATGAATCCTTGGACGTAGTTCCTAACCTGTCGGTGGGCTTCAGCAGCCTGCCTCACATCACTGTACACGTCCTCCTGCATTCGTTCTAAGGCTCTTTTTTCTTCGTTTGTCGTCCGCCAAGCAGCAGTTTTCCTGAATGTAATGAAAAATTATATAGTTTTTATTATATTTTTGATTACGTTTGTGAATATTATTATTCATCCAGGTAAGTATAGTGTCAATACAAGAAATAAACAATAAACAAACTATATTTGTGATTGTTATTTTTGAGAAAACAGCATTATTTGAATATGTACACACACACTCACACAATATTTAATTCATCAATGAAATATTTTAATTAGCTTCTTCTCAGCCCCTATGTATTTGACAGAGACACGTTGGTAAATGAAAAAATGATCCCATTCTTCCCTAAACCCTACCCTCAACCCCACTTCCAGTGTGATGATCTCTCAAAGATAGCTTTCGGTAAACAAGGTATAAATTCTTATGAAAATTGTAATTATAAAAGAAGAAGCATAATTTACCCATCAACTGCTGGATGTTCAACTTCTTCTCCTTTTGGAAAATTTCCATCTGGGAAGAGTTCGGAAACGGGTATAGTTGGAGGATCCGTCTGCTGTTTTCCTCCAGTATTTGGTTTCTTCTTTTTCTTTTTCTTCTTCTTCTTTGCAGCATCAGTGTCTCCTCCTTCTTTCTCCACATTTTGACCATCTGAAATGGTGTAAAAATACAATTTAAAGGCATTTGAATTTTAGTTTTATGTGCACTCTTTTTTAAAATATTGAGCAACTAAATATGTATGTGGAGGTGTTGTGGCATAGTGGAAATGCTTTAGTTTCCAACCTCAAAGTCAGGATTTAAATCCTTCGCTGTGCATTTAAATTGTGTCTATGAGAAAGGCACTTTTCTACATTGTTTCAGTCTACCAGCTGTATCAATGGGTACCAGCAAATTGCTGGAAGCAACATGAGGCGGACCAGCATCACAACCAGGGGGAGCATCAGGTTCTTATCTGCTTCACGCTACTTGAAACTGGGGATTATGAGCCCCTTGGCCCCTTAACTTTAAAACCTTACTCCTTTACTACAATACACCATATTTAAAATTGCCCTTTAAAAATGGATAGAATACCTCATTCATAATAACTGGATTGGGGCTTTTTTACAATTTTTTTTAGAAAGCAGCGAAATTCATATTTTAGTAAAAAAACAGATAAAACGATAATTTTTCTTCATATCTGCCCCTGTGAATTTATTATTTATATATGTATAAGTCAGACATAAAAACATATTTATGGAAGACATACAAGGGTAAAGTATGAAGTTGTTCAACCAATGCTAAAGAACGGATAAGATTTTAGTAAGTTTACATGCTCAATAAGATTATTATGTGTCAGAATATTAGAATGCCAGTGGAGCTGCAAGCAATACCAGAAGGAAGCGAACTGGTGCCAAGGACCACAAAACAGAGACATTTGGACAGTTATTTATTCTGTAAACTGACACGGCCTGTCTGAAACCAAGTATGAAAACATTCTAAAAACTTTACCTTGCTTCTCATCATCCAGAGTTTGTTTCTCTAATTTCTCTGTTACATCATCTGTCCCATCTCCTTCTTCTTGGATGCCTGGCTTATCTGTTGTTGCTGAAAGATAAGCACACAAAACAGTCAAACAATGTAATATAGATGGTCTCCAAATCTCAATGATGTTAGCGATTTCAATCCGCTATGTTCAACCCACTGCTATGATGCATGATACTGTACATGTGAACACCTGTATAGTAGTTGGTAGTAATGATAATGTACTAAATTTGTGTGTACTGTATTTAAAATATGCTCTTTGAATTACCTTGAACCTTAGGACTAGAGCATTACCTCATTTGTCCCTCCAAAATCATCATAACAAACTCTTTAGAAACATATGGGTGGAACATTTTGCTATGCCAGATTTAAATTCATTAACAATCGAAGCAGCTACAACAGCATTGGGTAATAAATTCCAATCATTAACGACCCGAACCGCATCTCTTTTCCTGACGTTAAGATTTGGTTTGGATTTATAAACATTTAAAGAATGCCCCCAAGTTTTCTGGAATGTAGATCTTTGAAAGAGCTTCTCTTCCTCTCCTATCAACATTTTAAAAAATGTTACATGTTTGAATTTCTTTCTGAATGTTAGAGTAGGCAAGTCCAAAGCCTTCAACCTCTCCTCATAAGACTTAATTCAGACACAAGCCTTGTAGAGTTGACCTTTTACCAAACGATTAATATCTTTTTGATAAATAGGTATCCATGAACTGCCACCATACTCCATTTTAGGTCTAGGCCTAATCATGGACTTGTATAAATACATTATTATATAGGCCTAACTCTTTATTTATTGTACAATGAAAGTTACAGTAATTTGTATTAATATTTATTTACTCAACATATATGCTAAATTCTGTACTGTATTGCACTCATGTCTTCTGCTGTACTGTATATCTTACATACTGTAGATCTTGCCTAGGTCCCACCCTGCACCTGGTGTTCACATCCAGAGATTCAATTTGACAAGGAATGTGTGCTGGAATTTCAGGGGTGTGCATTGTTGTTGGCAGTTTTATACAATCTGCGAACAACACATGACTATACCTACTCATATGCACCATATTTATGTTCCCTAGGTTCTAGGTTAGCTTACCCTAGCTAAGGAGGCCTAACCCTACTCTTCAACTGCGCCTCTTGGCTATTCACTAGCCTCACAGAGGCCTATCCTCTAGGCCTAGCCCCTAAAAAACTGACCGCAACCCTTACCCTTCTTCTTTTTCTTTTTCTTTTTTTTCTTCTTCACTTGAGTATCTTCATCGTTCTCGATGACACCATTAGCAAGTGGATGTTCATCTTCTTCACAATCTTCTTTCATGATGACTGAATCTTCTACGGCTTGGTCAGCCATACCTATTCTTTCATTTACTTAAAATTTAACAGTAAGATTGTCCCACTGGACCACCTGCGTGCGCTCATCTACGCCTTCGGTAGTTTTGCAAGGGAGCCGTCAGCACATTCACGTACGCTAGGCCTAACTTCTTGCACGATTTCACGATTTCGACACCGTGAAATTTAACAGGCTAAAATTAGATAGTAAAATGGCGTTAAGAACTGGTGATTTACAAATATATTATTACATTATAAAACAAGATTTTTTTCAAATATAAATTATATGATAGTTTTTAAAATTTTTATTCAATATATTTACTTACTTTTAAACTATAAAAATTGTTATATGTTTGTATTTAATTAACTTTATAAACAGGTTTGGTTGTACAGTTTTGGAAAAAAGCAAAATGTAAACACAGTATTCATCATCACGTGGTGGACCAGTTGAAAAGAAAACAAAAAGAACGATGCAGCATATCAATTCGTAAATTTTTAAGAAGATATAATTGAAAAAGTGATAGTCAAATTATGCCAGACGCATGGGTTTGTTGAAAATTGTTATCGTTTGTCTGAGATTAATAATTTTAATGAAATATTGCCCAGGCAGGCCAGTCCTCGCTCGACTCGTACACGGGCAGGGTAACCTTTCTCTGTTCTGTACCAGGGCAGGGAGGAGGTGGGGGAGTGCAGCATCTCCCTGCCTGTACATGCGTTACGCTACCAATCAGAGAGGCCTGCGTGTACGTCCGCCAACAGGACCCTTGGATTGTAAGGCAAATATCCTTACCACCAAGTTACAGTACAGCTCCGCTCCCGTTATTCTGTAAATTATGTCCGGATGGTCCCTGTTTGTTGGTTGGTGTCCCAAATTTCTCTGTGTGTTACAGTGTGTCTGTCATGTGTCTAGGCATCACCCAGTTTTCTCTTGGTAACCTGGGAATTCTTCCTTAGTAGTAGGACATGGTGATTGGATCCATGATAATAAATGGAATTGAACCAATATAGAATACCAATACCATATACTATTAATTTCAGAGCGATTACAAACTTCATTTTAATTACACAGGTGTCAGTGGGTATTGGTCTTGGTTCCGCAGCAGTTCTCCTTTTCTTCATAGTTCTCTTTGTTTGGTATTATCGGTAAGTTATGTTTTTTGATATCGGTGTATTGAAGATACTAGAAAAGGAGACGTGGGTGGTTAATTGCACACCCCAAGAAAAACTTAAATAGCTATAAATCACCTCACAAGATATCATTCCATCAGCTAGCACCATTCACTCCCCCCCCCAATCCCCTGTTTATATTTCTAGATTTGCTAGTCTTTAGAACGAATCCTATATGTTAAATACAATACAGTACCTGTACAATGAAAAGAACTATATGAACTAATACATTCAATTTATTCCTCTAACAGAAGAAGAAATCGTTATGAGTATACTCCTTTGAGAGGTGATGATATGGCTTTACCTACCAAATGGAAGATGGAGAAAGATTTTGAGGAGGAGCAAAAAAGAGGTGATTAAGTTGTAAATGTTATCCAGTGTCCGATACACCATTTCACATTTTCATCAGAGAGATTCATCTATTATTGCATTGTTATCAGCATTTCTGTTGTTTCTTACTTTTATCAGAAAAAATACCTCAAGCAGATGAGAAGATGGTATCAAATTAATTATATTTATTAAATTTATATTTTACAATTTCATTACAATTTATAATACCGTATCTCAAACTTTAAAAATATGTGATATCTCACAAATCCCCCTTTTTTTTTTAGAAACTATTTTTGAAGTCTCTCATGACACAACTTCTTTCAGCCTCAAATTTATATTACACTTTGTTTTCATGCATTGTTTTTTTTTTTCAGAGGCTGCACTTCTAAATTGTCAATTTTTCCTACGAGCAAATGTCGGGAAATATTCTTACAATGAGTACTTGAAACAAATTGGTAAGTTACAGGATCCAGCAGGGGTGCACGGGGGCCACGAACCCCTCCCCCCATTTGCCACTAAATTTTAAAATTTCAATGCATATATTGAAATTAACGCTCCCCCCCCCCCCCCGTTTGAAAAATTCTGCATCCGTCCCTGAGTTAGTACAAGTTTTAACTGTGAATACTGTGTATCAGAATATTATATAAAATACAGTGGAAAGTCAAAGGATAGTGCAGGCTTCTCAAGTTAGTATGCATTTCAGTAACTATCTTCAGATTTCTGTAGTAAATGAAAAATTTCAATAGCACCTAATAATTTGCAAGATATGGATTTCTCAAAATTGCAGGTATATTAACAGCTGTGGAATTTCAAACAAACTAGACTGGATGGTCACTTTTCGTGGGTTTTACAATAATTTATCAATAATCTGACAAGTCTGAGTAGCCTAGGGTCCTTTGGGACTACTGTATGTAGCCAAAGGTCCTAATGAAAAAAAAATCATTGTCCTGGACATTAGACAATGTGTAAACCTATATATTTTTAGGTGTAGGAATAATGATGAATGAAGTGCCCTTGTCTATTTCTCTAACCATCCATAATTAGGCAAAATGTCCGTAGCAACTGCAGCTGCAGATGTTCACAAACTGAACACTTCATTCAAATTTTATTAAATGAAACAGTAGTAAATTCATATTTAGTCATTCTGAGTAACACTGATTGCAAGCTCATCTCTTCTCTAAATACCAAACTGCTAAACAAATATGTCTAAACTTTATTTCCAGGAAGCAGAGTGGAGAGGCAGTGGTTTATTGTTCGACATGTGAAGATGAAGAAAGACTTGTTGCTAACGGTAACTCCAAAGTCACCTGATTGTCAACTTGTCTTTGATTCATCCTCTAAATCTAACACCTTGAAAGATTTACTACAATCGATTAAGGTAAGAGAAGTGTAGTAATAATATTGTTAATGATAATGTTAGATAATAATAATAATAATAATCAAGCATTTTAAAGCACTCTATACAATGAAGTCTCAGAGCGCTAGCTAACTGTTCATAGCTTAATTATATGAAAAAAATAAGCACTTCAGTTGTTTTTTGAATGCATCAAGAGATTTATCTTTACGACTGAAAGATGGAAGTTCATTGCAAAGAGCAGGAGCAGAAACAGCAAAGGATCTCAATCCATACTTTGATCAATTATAAAATTTTAATAAGTGTAACATTTTATTTTATATTTTTTTCCCTGTGCATTGTTATTTATTCATTATATTTGAAAAACAAAAGGAACAAACTCTTGGTGTCCCCCTCTTTGGATGATTTACATGTTGCATGTTTGTTAGTTGACTTTTCTATCTGTTTTTATAGACATGTATGTTTTTATTGTTCTTCTTAGCATGCGTATTATAATGTTGATTGTTCTTCTTAGCATCCATATATCTGGCCTGTTAGTGACCTAGTCTTACAAAGTGAACAACAGATTGCTATTGTACTACAACCATTCAACAGCAAGGGCTCCCTCAAGGACCTTATTAGAAATGTAAGTAGATGACAAGAAATATAATGAGCTCTGTCATCAGTTTGATATGAAATGTTGAGTAAACAATAAGTATACAATAAGAATTCTTTAAAGTAATAAAAAAAACAAGTGAAGAGCTCCCTCTAGTGAAACCATACAAAGAGCACCATTAAGTACCTAACAAGAAAGTCTATTAGAAAGTATAAATAACTCCTTTAAAGTATAGTATAATAATTTTATAAAAACTTGCAGATATATCTCGAAGTTGCTACAGGAAGTAATCTCTATCATATTTATTATATTATATACAGTACAACAAGTAAAACAAAGAATTTGTAGAGCATGTTTACATTTTTGCAGACTTGTATTTTGGTTGTGTTTAATGCTCTTAATATGGTCCTAGGTTTAGTCATGCAAATGATAATGATTTTTTTTTTCTTTTCTTCAGACACGTCCTCAGACAGCATGGCTGGCTAAATCTGTAAACCAAAACAAAGGATTGCCAACTAGACTTATACAACTGTACGGACGTCAAATTTTAGAAGTAAATATTTCAATGTAGACCAGTAGTACTATTAATTAATCAAAGTCAGTCAATTAATCCATCAATTATTAAACCAATCAATCAATCAATAATTAATTAGTCATTCAATCAATCAATCAATCAACTTACAGTTTATTCACTAGTAGAAAAATATTTGGCTTGAATCATATATTTTATTAATGTTATTAATTGTGTTAACTAAAAGTACACAAAGGTCTTTAAGTCTGTATGCTTTGAAAATTTACCAATAATTGTTGTTATTGTCATTATTATTTATTCAAAATGCAACCAATATATTTGAATACATTTTCAAAACCATTGACTATAAGCAAGATTTAAAAATATTGTATTATCATTTTTATAGTCTATATGGTCAAATAATGTATTCCCTTTATAGCAGTATTAGAATGAACATCATTTGTAAAAGTAAAAATATTTTCTGTTGCTGTTGCAGGCTCTACTATATTTAAAAGAAAATAATTTCCCCCCATACCGTCATTTGCAATCGGGTAATGTAATATTGGGGAGTGGTGTTTGTCGTCTAACTGCACTCGACAACATGTTCCTTAGTTACAATTCTCCTTTACAACAACTTGTGTACCGCAAAATTCGCAATAATATAGACGCCCTTGATGTGCTCTGCTTCGGTAAGATTTTCATATTTTTATGATAATAATAATTTTAATTGAACCAACTCTATATGGATTGGAAATAATAATAAAATAATTTACTAATATAATAAGCTGTTTAGCTATGATGCAAAGTTCTCTTCTATAATGAAACAAAAGAACAATAATGAACAAACTAAGACAGTTACACACTGTTATTCAATCCTCTGTAGGACATCTTGTATTTGAAATGGCATGTGGTTGGGAATTAGACTCTGCACATCCAGACAGTGGTGATTATAACAGTTGCAAAGATACAGCAATAAAAGAGGTAATTAATTTTTTGATTAGTAAGTAGAAAACAGTGGAGTTTGTCTGATATTGAATAAAGATGTTATGTCAGTCTTAAGCTGGGAACGTACAGTACTACGTTCACAGTCATTGGCTAAGACGATTCCATTAATAACGTGACGAAACAAGGCATCCGTAATGTATCACATTTAATGACGAACGTCTCAGTCTGCCACCAACTATCAAGAGACGCTAGAGTGTCATCAAGTGCTCACTGAGGGAAAAATAGACATGTTGCCCAGTGTTTGTGTGAGTGGCCACCTTTATATAGAGCATATTGGAAAGCTTCTATAGGTCTCGCATAAATGAAATTGAATCAGATGCTGTTTGTTTTGGTATATGATCAAATCTCTAAGGAAGTATTTCATTTTGCAGCTAGTAATCACCTCATTGGCATTTAAAGCTACCAGATGAGTGGAGATAGAAGAATGTCTTGCTTAGGGACCCAAAGAAGTGTCTAAACTCGAACCCTAGATTGCTTGATCGGAAGCCAAACGCCTTACTGCTGCACCACATTCTACCACTTTAACCATGTTTTAATTTTATCAATTTTTTCATCAAGGTGTTAGAGTTCATCTTCAACAAATCTAAAGAGTATCCATCACTTGAAGAGGTTGCAGGTCATGCCTTCTTCACATCATGCAATCTAGTTGAGTTGAAATCCAATCCCCCATCAGCAGTAAGTTTTATATAACCTTTACTTTCTTAAATTATGTCAATAATTATGTAATAAAAGTAATTGCAGGTGTATATATGAACAGACATTTTGTAAACTTAACATTTACTTTTTACAGATAAAACTAACCTCTGCAATGAAAAACATCATAAAAGTCGTTCGAAAAAGCAAACTCCCAAAGTAAGTTAAAATGGTTACCGCAATCATGCACCATGCTTATATACTCAGATTTCTAGGTTTTATCCTTATAAGGGTCAATATAGCATTTGAAACTATTTAAAGTGATATATAATAGAGTGCACCCTCCAATTTGAAACCCTTCTAATTCCGAGACCCCTCTAATTCGAGATCACTTTTTCAAAGAACCAAATAACAATCATCAATCATTTAACAGAAAGTTAACCCTCCAAGTTGAGACTGAACCCTGACACCACCCCAAATTTTCAGGTCCCAAAGCTGGTCTCGATTTGGAGGGCAAAGTTTATATATACTTTATTGTTTATGCAATTTTAATGTGCTTTTGTATTTGATATGATTGATAATGTCATAGATTTGGATGCCCACAATGAAGAATTTCAATTAAGTGTGTGCAGTAAAGTTAACACTTATATTATATAATTTTTTTTAGAATGACCACTGAAAATGGAGAGAGAAAGAAACCTGTGCAAAAGCAAGTCAGCAAAGACAATGTGAAAACTAATTCAACCAAGTAAATCTTTTTTTTTTTTTATCATAATCATAGTATTATATTATTGTTGTCATTATCATCATATGTAATGTATTAATATCACTGGCCCTCTACATTATCTGTCTTCACCACTGTCATTCATTTACATCATTAATCACCATCATACTCATACTCACCCATCATGTATTATTGTCATGAAAGTGATTTTGATCTACTATTGTTTCCATAAAGTCGCTACAAAAATAACAAAATATGAAACCTGGTTGCCATAAAATTGCTCCAAGGTATTGCCGAAAGCCACCCACAGCCGCTGTCAACGATTCTCATTAGCGATTCTATGGAAACGCTCACTGTTAATCATGCCAACTATTAAACATTATCGACATAGGCCTAAAAATTTGACAACCTCTAGACTATCAGCTAGGAAAACTAATCTTAAGTATTAACATTTTAGTATTTGCCATATTTGTTTAATGCTGATGTTTTTTGGTGTTTTTTTTTTTCAAATTATTTTAGATCAAAGAAGAAAGCAGACTTGGCAGAAGGGAAAAAAAGGAAACCTTCCAGTCGCGTATCAACAGCACCACAAATACACCAACCACCACCCCCCCCCCCCCCCCCCCCCCCACCCCCTTCCCACCCCCCCCCCCCCCACCCGCCCTGCCCCACAAGTCGGCATTAAGCAACCTTCGTCAAATGGCCAACGCTCTGCACTACTGAATGATATAAGAAAAGGAATGTCATTAAAAAAGGTGGAAACCATTGATAAAAGTAATCCAAGAGTTTGATGAAGTTGTTGCCTAGCGACTGAGAGGTATTGTTCCTGCTTCTTGTGCTGAAGGCTCCAGCCAGCGTCAGGTTTCAATTGGAGTCTAATCACTTGCATCTTCGAATAACCCTCACGTTGAGAGTTAGGCAGGTTAAGGACAATGTTTGTATCCGTTTGTGTCTGTTATATGTTTGTAGTTAAGTTGGGCGGCGCTGCACTGTGGCTGCTGTGAATCAGGGTTCCCAGGGGCCAGACATTTTTCTGATTTCCAATTAGATTATTATTATTTTTATATTGCTGCTGTTTGGAAGCATAGTGGAATTTTTATTCAAAATAAAAAGCTGGGTAGTGTGTGAACATTTGACGACCAGACTCATGATAACTGCTTGTTGTTGTTGC